AGGTCATCGTCCCGATTATTGCAGCCACGCTAGCGGACGGAACACAGCTAGTCCGAGTCATAGTCCTCAAACCGCTCTCCGCACAAATGTTTCAGCTGATCAAGCAGCGAGTTTGCGGTCTGGCGAATAGACGGCTCTTCTACCTTCCATTCAGCCGGGACATCCCCCTCGACTCTGCCAAAATTCAGCAGATTGAAGCCTTGCTCAAGGAATGTGCCGCGGTGGGCGGGATTCTCCTGTGCCAACCCGAGCACATCCTCTCGTTCCAGCTCATGGGGCTGCATACATTCTGCGAAAACGGGGAATTCTCTGGCGATGCGCAGAAGCTGCTGGAGACGCAGGAATGGCTAGACAGCACTGCTCGCGACATTTTGGATGAGAGCGACGAGATCCTGAGCATCCGCTATCAGCTGATTTATGCCGTTGGAACTGCAAGCGCACTGGAGGGTCAACCTGGTCGCTGGGATGTCACTCAGGAGGTCTTTTCTTTGCTCAAGGTGAACTTGGACAAACTCGCCATCAGCCACCCCCTCGGTATCGAGCTGAAGCGGACATCACCCCAGCCACGCCAGTTCCCTGTGACCCGAATCCTCTCGGTGGCATGCTGCAAGGACCTACTGGACTCCCTCGCCCACCAGATTGTGTACGACGAAAAACTGCCTTCCTTGTCTTTTCGGACATACTCGTCGGACCATAGAAGCCTTGCCTTCCGTTTTATACGCCAGTTGAACGGAATCAGTGCAGACGAGAGTGCCACATTGCAGCAGATATCTGGGGACGTTTTCGGCCAGCTTCTCCTTCTTCGCGGGCTAATCGCACACGGGATCATAAAGCTCAGCTTGCAAGAAAAACGCTGGCGTGTGGACTATGGCTTGGATCCGACACGCTCCATGTTGGCGGTACCATATAGAGCAAAGGACACGCCGGCTCCTCGCGCAGAGTTCGGGCACCCAGACATGATCATCGTGTTGACGTGCCTGTCCTATTATTACGGCGGCCTCACAGACGACCAGCTCAGCACGACATTCAAGCACCTTTTCGACTCCGACAACCCCGCGATTCGATACGAGGACTGGATCAAGGGGTACAGCAATCTCCCAGAGAATCTCACCAATTTACGCGGTTTGAATCTGGACGACTTTGAGCAGCGGACCGTGCATATCTTCCCCCGCCTACGGTACAACAAGTCCGTGATTGATTTCTTCCTCTCGGAGTGCGTGTTTCCCAAAGAGGCGAGGGAGTTCCAGCACAAGCTCACGACAAACGCATGGGATCTGGCCCGGAAGACTGCGAGGCTGAAGACGGGGTTCAGCGGGACGAACGACAACAAGTACCTCCTCCCGCTTTCCATCGAGCAGCTCGATCAAGAGTCGCAGCGCCACACCAACGCACAAGTCATTGAGCATATACTGCAGCCAGAGAATTCGGAGGTGCTCTGCACGCATTCCGACGATGCGCTCGGCCTGCTCAATCGCGTGGTCAAGCAGGAACCCTCGGTGATGGTTCTCCTGGACGTCGGCGCACAGGTGCTGGAACTCCAGAACGAAGAAGTTGCGCGGGAGTGGCTCAAGCTCGACGCGCGTCCCGGCATCGAGGCGGCAGTATACTTCAACTCGAGCGACGATGAAATCCATGTATTGCTGCGCGACGGGCGCAAGGAGCCGCTCGCGAGCTCTCTGTATCGGACTCAGCTCGACAAGACGCTCGTGTACCTCGACGAAGCTCACACACGCGGCACCGACTTCAAGTTTCCGTCTGGAACGCGCGCAGTGGTGACGCTGGGCCCCAAGCTGACAAAGGACAAGTTGGTACAAGGTAGGGAATGATATCATCAAGGTTATTATCAACCAACTGAGTGGAATTCCTCAATAGGCTGTATGCGAATGCGACGACTGGGAAGTGACCATTCCGTGTTGTTTTTCGCCTCGGAGGAGATTTGCAGTAAAATCACGCAATTGTGCGCCCCCGCGAGCAGTCTCAACTCAAGCCATGTTCTCCAGTGGACAATCCAGCAGACGTGCTTGCAGATTCGAGACAATGGGCCCCTGTGGGCCAGTCAAGGCGTGAACTTCGACCATCGCCGCACAGCGTACGAACAGCACCATGCAAACAGTCTCTCGGATCAAGGTCTCGCAGCTGTTCTGAAAGAGCGAGAATCCCACACGCTCGAGGAACTGTATGGCGTCGAGGGGGTGCTTGAAAATCGGATTGATGGATCCACCGACCTCCAAAGAAGGATTCAGGGGCGCTGCCGCGAGCTGGGCATTATCTCCTCGCTGAACAGCACACTCTTGGAGGAGCAAGAAAGAGAGCTTGCGCACGAGAAAGAGGACGAACGCGAGGTGGAGCGAATTGCTGGTGCGAAGCCTCTCGACCACCACATAGACAGAAACGTCGAGGTCTTCATTCGAACCGGGGCGGACTCGCACACCTTCATCTCTCTTGCCACCTGCTTGGCCAACACGTCCCAAATCTCGCTGCTGCCCCGAGGGCACGTCTTCCGAGGCACAAAGCTGCGCACAACAAAGGACTTCCGCGACACGATCGTGCTGTCGTCAATCTCCTCCGCGGGATCGATGGACAGCTACCTGCGGTCCGTGCAATGGATTCTGTCGAGTTCCAAGTCGGAGCTGCTGCTTCTCATCAGCCCCTTCGAAGCCAACGCGCTCTTACCCCAGATCCGCAGCTCTGCAACGGCGCATCTGCACCTCTACGCCCCCCGTGTCTCCCGAAACACACAGTCATTCGAGGACCTGCAGTCATTCGTCGTTCCACGCCCGCGCTCCACTCTGCCTGATCGGTCCATCATCCACGAGCTCAACCTCTTCGCCGGGCAGCTCTTCTTTGCGGACCGGCGTGCGATGAAGGAGGTGTGCGCGCTGCTCGGGCTGCATCTGCAGGCCGTGCCAGAGGCGTTGCAAGGGCGCGTGGACCCCACGGGCTTCGTGAGCGACAGCACCGCACGGGCGATACTTGGATTCGACGCCTGCTCATTCAGTTCGAACCCACTGCCGTTCATCCGGGAGCTATTCGGGTGGCGCAGGAAAGGTGAGTTGCGCTTTCAAATCGAATGAATTTAATTGACGCGAGAAATAGGCCAGGGGTTCGTATTGACGCACGCCGGGCAAGTCGTGCGAGGTAACGACCTACAGGACGCCGATTTCGATAGCTGAAGGTAATGTGCCCTGAATATGGCTTGAATTGACTGCTGATAAACAATAGGCTGTTAGTATGTGATATATTAGAATATAAACCGTAATAGTACAATTTTGAGCTTCTAGTCCAGTGTACGCGCCAGGGTGCTTGAACAACTATATTATCCGTGACTATCCTGAAGGGACCAAGGATAATATATAGTCAGGAGTCCGCAACAAGCCCGCAATGATTGACGAACTGCGGCGCTCAGAGTCCAACTTGCAGTCTGCAGGTGCCTGGTTCCTGCCCGACACAACGAGATGACCTGGTACTCTAGTCCTCAGTCTGCTGCGACGTCCGCACGGCGGCTCGCGGCGGGCGGCGGGATCTGTCTGAGATCAGGAATCTCCACACAGCCACGAATTAAATTGATCTGCATCGGAGATCCTCAATTTTGTTGACGTCCCACAACGCCTTTCTGAGCTCCAAGGTTGGCCGGCAAGATCTAGGCTATACAGCGAGCGCCTCAGAATCAGACGGGCGTTACGCTAGCGCTACAGGACAGTCTGGTTGAGGCTCTTCAAGACTGCTTGGCACTGCTGCCGGCGCGGCGGCGAACCTCGGCGGACTGTCCGAACTGGGAACAGCTGCTGAACACACGTCTACACACTGAAGCTAGGCGTGACGACGGAGACAAAAACCTGAGGCTCCACTGAGTGATATTCGACGGGTCGTTCCCCTGACACCGTACCGAGGCAGGCTCTCGAGCGAGGATACTTACATCACCATTTCAATCGCGGTTCCTTCCTTCGTAGCCGACCTTTGCTTGTGGACGTCTATCATATCTGGCTCGCACTCTGAAGGTCGTCGATCCAGGTCGTAACTTCCCGAAGATAGTCTGCCAAAATGAGCTTGTAAGTAAAGGTTACTGGATATGCCTCATTGGCGTCAATGTAACGGAGGGCTTCTTGCCGTTGTTGCTCGCCATCGTAACCTCGATTCTCTGGTTCACAAAAATCATCGGGTTCCCCTTGTCGAACCCCTTCTTTTCGACGGAGGCGATGGTGGACGAGGCGGACGCGCCTTTATGGCTCAAAAGCGGGTTGTCGTTGTCCCAGAACATGCGCCCGCCTGCCCACATACGGCGTGTGAATGGCTCCGGCGGACAAAAGTCTGCGTCCGTCCCGTCTGGGCACAGCAGGCTCTCGGGCGTCCGGGGATGGAAAAAGGCTAGATGCGTGCCGTACGGGAGAGGAGTCGCCATGCCTGGCGGCTGGTACGGGGCACGAGACCCATCTCGCGTTGGGAGAGTGGAATATAGATCGGTGAGACGTTCCAGAGTGAAGGTGTCGCGCAGGACCATCTGCTTGGGAGATGCAATCCAGTCATCTAGAGCTTGTGTGTGCAAAAGTCCAGCATGGGTTCGCATAGTAAGACGCGAACAACAGGGTCGGCGCAGCAGGTTGAGTGCGTTAAGCATATCGTAGGCAGCCGTGAATTGTTTTCAACTTGGGTTTAGTAGCTCTCAGATACGGAGTATCGGTAGTTGGTGAGACACGAAGCGCGAGCTCAGGCAAGCTTGCGAGCCGGCGTGGATGAGCGGCTTGCTCCCGGTGTAGATTAGATATGACGTCTTATCTACACTGCCACCGGTCTTCCGTTTCTGAGTTCAACTTTATCTCAACTTCGTGGAGCGCCTCTCAAGCGCCCCTCCCTGGCGGCTACGCTCCGGCTGCGTCAGCCCTGAATTCTGCCCCAGCTTTTTACCTAAGAGTGTTGAATTAGTAGCCAATCGGCAACTTATTCAAATCTCAAGTTCGAGCTTCTCTTTCTGCTATAACCCTTTTATTTTATTTCTCAGTATCTGCCCCTTGGCCCAGTTGGTTAAGGCGCACGACTGTTACATGTGACAGGTCACCTGACTATCACGTGATATCGTGCGATCGAGAGTTCAAGTCTCTCAGGGGCAGTTCTTTTGCTTTTTAGCGTTTTCGACATATTTTTCTCCATACCCCTGAGGTCTCTCGAGGTCCAGGAATATTTCTAGAATTTTCCTCTCTTTTTGAGCGACTTTCCAAGTGTTTAAAGCCAGCGTGACGTCCGGATCAGACAAACTGATCGCAAACCCAAATCGGGAAAGCCAGCGCTCGCAGCAGAGCCTTTGCTTGAGCCTCCTGAAGCTTTCCGACGGCCCAAGAATCGTGGAAATTGACTAATTTTTCGACCACTTATCGCTGTTTTTCATTTGGACGCCATGATAATCAACGCGGCTGCACCTTCACCGTGACCTCGCCCACCCGTTTCGTAGCATCCCTTGGCCCACCGCGCACCTATTTTTCTTTTCCGGATCCATATACGCCGCCGGGTTGGTCAAAACTCGCGTCCACCGTCAGTTTATATTCCTTTCTACTCTCCTGGGATCGGATTTTAAACCCACGGTCATTCTACAGTACGGTACGGTACGATACATATCCGTATCGTACAAGCCTCGCGCCAGAGGTATAATATACGGGTCACTTACAGCTTGTGCGGGAGACGGCGAGGCGGCTCCATACAGGTGAGAAAACCTCGAATCTATGTACCCCCTCTGATATCTTTCTAACCCGCCGTGGGCAAGGTTCGAGCCCCGTTTGCGGTGTACAGATTCTTCTACGATGTCTGTAGCCCGTACCGTATTGATCTTGAGGGGTTTGACTGGATCTCATTGAGAGCTGGGAATCTAAGCGCAGTAGGCGTGGAACTAAACGGTATGGCTGATGTAGTTTTCGTCATTTATCATTGAATACTGAGTGCCTGCAGCAGTAATTGAGAGGGGGACCGAACTAGGCTCTGGTTATCCTGTGACAGCCAGAAATCCATTGAAAGTTAAAAAGATTTTGACGTGCAAGCTCTCGGCACTTTATTCGGCCACTTCAAGCTACCTCCACTTTCAGAAGCAAAGGATGCCAGCTCAGCTTCCGATGAAACTCGCCCTGGTAGTGAAACCTCCGCATTTCTGCGAGCGGATGTCTCCATCTTCCGCCTGCGGATGCAGCGGATATCACAAAAACAAATCTCAAACAAACGGCCTCCTGAGACATCCACCACTATAAATTTGGAACCAATCCCAGCAGACGCATCACCGTCAAAAGTCTACCACAATGCTCACAGCTTCTCAATCTGAACCTTCTGCTCTGGCTGGCCGGAAAAGAAAAGCGATACCGATAGACGCCGAGTCTATATGTCGATCCATTCTAGACAGATTGCGCCAACAGCTTTCCACCATAGATGACGATGAGTGGGAGACCGTTACGGCTGCTATGTTGGCCGATCCCAACCTCACCAAGGTAATTTCTGCCTTGGGTAACATCCCAGTTTCTCATACCACATTTACAGACATCGGTGACTTCGAAACCTTTCACCGAGGCACATCCGTTCTTTTCGGATCTTTTTCAAGATCCAGAGGACCGCATCAAACTCATTGAGGACCAGAAAAGCGCCATCCCACAGTGCGCAGCTGCACCTCCAGACGCAGCTGCCAATCCATACGAGGAGGCGGCAGCTACCCTCCGTGCGAATCCCATCTGGAAAAGCATTCGTGAACACGTCGTCATGGATGTCAGTATTGGTCCAACTTGTCTCACCTTGTGCTCACCAAAATGTTAGAACGAGACGTCTTCTCGAACGGTGATCGACCTCATAGTCCTCACTGCGGTCGAGCTCGCGCAGCGATGCATAAGCGAGCAGGCAGAAGTCGATGAGCGTGTTTGTGGTCGCCACCATCTGACTGGCCCAAAATGGAGTAGTGATGTTAACGGCCGGCCAGTTGGCAGTCGCGTGGTTCTCCACCAGGAGGTCGACATCCCTGGACAGCCCTTACTGCCGGGAGTTGCCTTGCACGGCATTCTTGATTACCTGCTGGGGGTTGTCCCGGCCGACCATGGTACGTCGTTCATCAAATATCATATTTGCTTCCTCTCAAGCGATTATGTTTCAGTCAAAGAAGCGTTCATTCCCAGTATGTTCCAACACTTGCCGGAATACCTCTCATTTCTGATTTGTTTACAGACCCTGCGTTCTTGCACAAAAGAAATTTTTACTCCCAGCCCAGAACTCGCTTTCGTACATTGGAAGGAGCTTGGCCTCGATCCTTGTCACTACGATAGACAGCCCAAAGGCCTGGTCACAGGTAACAGCACAGGGGGCTGCCCTTTGTGTTTTGGCGTACGTATTCCATATCATGAAATGTCTCTTCAACTTCTGATCACAATGCAGGAAACGCAAGTCTGTCATTAACGCCCTTACCGACGGTAATAAATGGATATTCGTCAACATCAGCAAAACCCCAGACCAAGCGCCACCATTGCAGACACCGAACAATGGGGGCAGGCGATCATCCGGGCGGCTCGCCTCCAAGCAAGCGTTGCCCACAGTAACAGAGACAGAGACGAAGAAGCCCTTCACGGTCGCAAGCACCCGCATCCTCGACATTCACGGTGCCCAACGGGACCTGGCAATAGTCCTTCGACTATTAACAAATAGTGTAAGTGCCTTCTCCGTTTCTCTCCGTGATGCCGCTCTTTTCTGATGTGTTACGCAGATATTGGAATCTCCAGAGATCTTCAATAAATTGGCAGCGCTCGGTAATGCCGCGGTCGGTAACGCCTCATAATGTGCATTATCTAGTTACTTTTTTCAATGTCGTTTGTGTATCCTAAATGTTAAATGGGGGCCTGTTGGCGGTGTCTGTGAGCCGAGGATTTCGTCTTTCTTGAGGGTCTTGTTCTTTTCCCGCCCACATTCGTACTGCCCCAGGGGACTGAACCGTGGATCTCGCATTTAGGTTTCGCGGGTCAAGGCACGCCTTTCTTTTAAACCACCCGTCTTTTTCGCGCCGCGCCCAAGAAGGGACTAACGGATATCGGATTTCATCTTGAAGAATCAGAACAAACGATGATGCAAATGCAGTTCCTCGGAACCTCCTGAATTTTTTTCCCCTACAATATACAAAAAACTACGATGCGCATAAGGTAGCGAGAGAGTGTACATGGTATTATAAGATCATCTCCAACTAGATCCAGAGGCGCGGACAGGGAGAATGGGGCGGAGAGTAGGACGACGTGCGGTTAAAGTACTGTGCTGGACCATTATTCGGTAGCGGTGGTGGCGGCTCTGGTAAGAAAAGTGGTATCGCTAGAGGGGCCGAGGGTTAGTCAGTTGGAGAACAGAACAGCATGATCAAATTATTCTTACTCGCTAAATAAAATAAACGCGGTCAGCGAGAGACGAGTGGTTCGAAGGGGATATTACTTACGTATAAGCTCAAAGACGTGCTGCGCGACAGCTCGGGAAGTCCGGCTTCCGGGCTGGGGCGGGGGCTCCACGCCATTCATCACGACGTGCACCTGTGCCTCCTGCACGATGGGCTCCCCCTCAGGGCCGGGCGTATTCGCGATATGCGAGCTGACCCCCCGGCCGTCCCATAAGCAGCGGATATCGTTGCCCGGGATAATCTGAGCGAGCCGCCCCGTCTCGACGTTGCGGATCTCGATGAACCGCGGGTCGAAGAGGAGGATGTAGGGAGAATGCAGCGCGACCCGCTCCGCATTACCTTCCCATTCGATGGTAGAGGCCCCACGGCGTGGTTCGCCGTGTCTGTCGACGTACACGCCGAATTCTGTAACGTGCCGTTAGACCGAGGCAACCGCCAGTGTTTCCCAACGCACCATTATAGCATAATAGGAAGCCGTCGCCCATGGATCGGAACATGCCTATGGGACGGCACGCCTCGCACCGCTTGGCCAACTGTGCGAGCTTGGGATCGTCCCGCAGCGGGATGGTAACACTCTTGAAGCTGCGACAGCCCGTCAGAATACTACACGCAAGCTCAAAGTCAAACTGCACTCACTCGTGGAGGTCCATAATCTCAAAGCCCTTGGTGCAAAGGATCACGACCTTTGCCTTGAGGAAGTAGAGATCAAACGACTCGGACGGCAAGGAAAAAGTCGCGGTAGATCCGGAACCACTCCGACTTGGTCGACCGGAAGCCCAACCGCGAGCTGAATCCCGCGGGCGCCTTGACCCGTTCGTTGATTTTATCTCCCACGGGCTCCAGCACGCGGAAGATGCTGTCCAGCTGCGAGACGGTCAGCAAGTTGCTTACGAAAAACGAACAACGACGAGACACGCACCCCCTTCTTCTTCATGTAGATGACGAGCGTGCGGTTGTGCAGCGTCCCGACGCTGAAAAAGTGGACGTCCTTTGTCCCGTTGAGCTTCTGCGGGACCTGGGACGTGTGCGTGGCTTGCGGCGAAGACGGCACCAAGGCCTCGATGTGGTAGGCGAACAACGACTGCGCAACGGACTCAACAACAACACATCAATTCCTAGGCGAGCAGAACCCATACCTTGTCGGCGAGGACGAGGAAAATCCCAAACTCCTCGAGCATAGCACACTGGGTCACCATTTTCAGATGCAGCACGCGGCGCATCGCTAAGCAAAAGGTCAGCGACGGCGACAACAACTGCAAATGCGTCACGCACATTTCGGGTCATGCCGGAACCCAATCCACACACCCTCCGCACACCCAATCGCGACCAGCCCGCGCCCGTCCGAGGTATCTGTGCACACCATCGTCAGCATTTCGCACCACATCTCATACGCCTCAAAAGCAGCGACGCACTGAACGGCACCGAGCAGGTGACCTTGCCCGTGAACGACGTGTCCTGGTTCCACGCCGGCGACGCCGGCCCCACCTGCACCGACGGCACGAGGAACGTGTCCGCACTCAGCGTCTCCACCTCAAACACCTTGTTCGACTCCTGCACGACCTTGCGGATCCCGATCGCCTCCTCCAGCTTCTGCTTCCACTCCGTGCGCGACTGCGCCGACTCGGAGTACAGGATGTACGGCCCGCCGAGGCGCCCGTTGTGGTGGATCGTCCACGGGTACACCGCGCGCGCGTCTCCGGCGCTCTCGGGCGTCGACGC